ACTACAGTACCTATCAGAATAGTATACCACATGCTCAGCATATATTTGGTGAATTTATGTAAATTAAAGTGGAACTCAGAAGAGCTTAGCAGAAACTATTCAGTTGTAGGTCTTTGGATACTAACTTTAGTCCTTAGAGGTGGCAGTGAAAATAAATGTATAGAATGGATTTTACAAATATACTTGAAACTAATTAGCATTGATTTTTATGAACTAATACTTAAGATCAAGGATTTTCCAGGTGATGCAGTAGTAAAGAATCCACCTGCTGACACAGGAGATGCAAGAGACCCAGGCTTGATCCCTGGATTGAGAAGATCACCTGGAGTAGGAAATGGCAACCCACTTCAGTATTCTTGCCTGGGAAACTCCATGGACAGAGGAGCCTAGTGGGCTCCATGGCATCAAAGAGTCAGACAAAACTGAACAACTGAGCACACACAGACTCTTAAGATCAATTAAATGATTAATATTTTCTTTTCTTATTTTTTGACATCTTTATAAAAATATAATTCACCTTTATTTCCAATATTCTGGGAGGTGGGTCATAGAGGATCCTGCTGTGATTTATGTCGGAGAGTGTTTTCTTAAAAAACTGGAAATAGAACTGCCATATGACCCAGCAATACCCTTCTGGGCATACACACCAAGGAAACCAGATCTGAAAGAGACACGTGCACCCCAATGTTCATCGCAGCACTGTTTATAATTGCCAGGACATGGAAGCAACCTAGATGCCCATCAGCAGACGAATGGATAAGGACGCTGTGGTACATATACACCATGGAATATTACTCAGCCATTAAAAAGAATTCATTTGAATCAGTTCTAATGAGATGGATGAAACTGGAGCCCATTATACAGAGTGAAGTAAGCCAGAAAGATAAAGACCAATACAGTATACTATGGCATATATATGGAATTTAGAAAGATGGTAACGATAACCCTATATGCAAAACAGAAAAACAAAACACAGATGTACAGAACAGACTTTTGGACTCTGAGGGAGAAGGTGAGGGTGGGATGTTTTGAGAGAACAGCATCGAAACATGTATATTATCTATGGTGAAACAGATCACCAGCCCAGGCTGGATGCATGAGACAAGTGCTCAGGGCTGGTGCACTGGGAAGACCCAGAGGGATGGGGTGGGGAGGGAGGTGGGAGGTGGGATCGGGATGGGGAACACATGTAAATCCATGGATGATTCATGTCAATGTATGGCAAAACCCACTACAATATTGTAAAGTAATTAGCCTCCAACTAATAAAAATAAATGGAAAAAATATATAATCCACATATCAAAAAATTTACCCATTTAAAATGTACAGTTCTTTTGGTAGAGTCAGAGAGTTATGCAATCATCACAGTCTAGATGTATTTTTCTCTCTCCCAAAGAAAATCTTTTTCCTTTCAGTAGTCACTCCCCATCCCCCAGTCTGAGCCTAGGCAAGCGCAGGTCTACATCTCTATAGATATGCCTGGTATATTACATTGATTGATTTTCTACATTAAACAAATCTTGAATTTATGAATTATCCCAAGAAGATAATTTTCATGTGATTATGAAACATGATCCTTTTATAATATTGTTGGATTAAGTTTGCTCGTACTTTTTGAGGATTTTTTGCATCTGTATTTCTGAACATACTGGCCTATAGTTTTTCTGCAGGGAGTGTTTTTGTTTTTATGGTGATTTTTTTTCTGGTTCAAGGATCAGGTAATATTCGTCTCATGGAGTAAGTTGGGAGGTGTTCCCTTCAATTATGTTTTCTGGAAGAACTGGTATTAATTCTTCTTTTCACATGGTAAAATTTATTGATGAAATTGCAAACTCCTGGGGTTTTCCTTATGAGAAGTTTTAAAATTACTAATTCAATCTTATTAGTAAGTTAAAAATTATAGGTGTATTCAAAGTAGGTATAACAAGAAAATTTTGAGATCTTTATTATGTGCTTAAAATAGACATTTACAGCTCTGATTTTCCCACTGAGCCCTTCTTTAACTGCCTTCTGTTAAGTTTTGGTATGCAATGTTTCAGTTTAAATCATGAAAGTATTTTCTCATCTTGTCTGTTAGTATCTTTAACTTATTTATTCAAGACGCTTAATTATTTTTACATATTTGTGAATTACCCAACTTTCCTTTGTTATCAATTTCTAACTTAATTTTTGTCTGAGAATATACTTTGTATAATTTCAGTCCTTTTAAATTTATTGATATCTGTTTTACAGTCTATACTGGAGAATGCTCTATATGTACTGGAGAAGAATGTGTATTCTGCTATCATTGGGTTGTGTTTTACAGATGTCTGTTACTGCTATTTGTTTTATAGTCTTGTTCAAGTCTTATTCTACTATTGATCTTCTGCCTAGAGATATCCATTATTTAAACTGAGTCTTGAACTCTTCCACTATTATTAAATTATCTGTTTCTCCCATCACTTCTTTCAGATTTATTTCATGTATTTGGACCTCAGTTGTTAGGAGAATGTATGTTTGTTGTTTAGTCACTAAGTCATGCCCGACTATGAACTGTAGCCCTCCAGGCACCTCTGTCCATGGAATTCTCCAGGCAGGCAAACTGGAGTGGGTTGCCATTTCTTTCTTCAATGTATGTTTATAGTTGTTACATATTACTGATGGAATGACCTTTTCATCATTATAGTTTATTATCTTTACTAACATTTTTTTGTTTTAAAATTTATTTCATCTGATATTAGTAAAACTGTTCAAGTTCATTTTTGAGATACCTTTCCACCCTTTTACTTTCAACCTACTTGTACCTTTGATCTAAATTGTATTTCTTGTACATAGTATACAGTTGGTTCTTTTTTTATCAATTTTTATTTTCCTTCATTTTTTAATTAGAGTTAATTTACAATGTGTGTTAGTTTCAAGTGTAACAAAGTGACGCGTGTGTGTGTTCTTTTGCATATTCCTTTCCATTATAGGTTTTTACAAGATATTGAGCTATTTAGTAGGTCCTTGTTGTTTATTTTATTTTATATATAGTAGTATGTATAGGAGATCCAACCAGTCCATCCTAAAGGAGATCAGTCCTGGGTGTTCACTGGAAGGACTGATGCTGAAGCTGAAACTCCAATACTTTGGCCACCTCATGCAGAGTTGACTCATTGGAAAAGACCCTGATGCTGGGAGGGATTGGGGGCAGGAGGAGAAAGGGACGACAGAGGATGAGATGGCTGGATGGCATCACTGACTCGATGGACATGAGTTTGAGTAAACTCTGGGAGTTGGTGATGGACAGGGAGGCCTGGCATGCTGCAATTCATGGGGTCGCAAAGAGTCGAACACGACTGAGCGACTGAACTGAACTGAACTGAGTATGTACAGGCTAATCCCAAATTCCTAACTTATCCACTCCCCTCTCTTGCTATCCCCTCTGGCAACTTTAAGTTTGTTTTCTATGTCTGTGGATCTGTTTCTGTTTTGTATATAAGTTAATTTGTGTCATTATTTTTTAGATTCCACAAGTAAGTGATATCAGATGAGATTTATCTTTCTCTGTCTGACTTATTTCATTTAGTATGATCATTTCTAGGTTCATCCATGTTACTGCAGATGGTGTTATTTCATTCTTTTTTTTTAAAAAATGTTTAAGGAGTCAGCAATTTAATCATATGTATGTGTGTATACATATATGTGTGTGTACACGTACACATTTACAGATTGAGATACCTTATGGTAACCACAAACCAAAAATCTGTAGTACATGCACAAACAAACAGAGGAATTCAAACATAACATTAAAAAACTACCAAAGTACATACAATGTAAACTGTTGCAGCCACTGTGGAAAACAGTATAGAGGTTCTTTCCTCAAAAAACTAAAGATATTGATAGAACTACCATACAATCCAGTAATTTCACTCCTGGGTAAATATATCCAAAGCAAACGAAAACATTAATATACATGTACCTCAGTGTTCATAGCAGCATTATTTACAATAGCCAAGACTTTGAAGCAACCTAAATGTCCATCAACTGATGAATGGATAACGATATGTATAAATACAATAGAACAGTAGTCAGCCAAAGAAAAGAACAAAATTTTGCTATTTGCAACAACGTGGATGGACTTGGAGGGTTAAATTTGCTTAGTGAAATTTAAAGTCAGAGAAAGACAGATGTTATTATTTTCATATATTATCTAAAAAATAAAACTAGTGAATATAATGAAAAAGTAACAGACTCACAGATATATAGAACAAACTAGTGGTTACCAGTGGGGAGAAGGAAGCAGGGAGGGGCATGATAGAGATAGGGGATTAAGAGATACAGAATTCTATATATAAAATAAATAGGCTACAAGGATATTTTTTACAGCACAGGGAATACAGCCAGTATTTTATAATAATTATAAATGGAGTATAGTCTATAAAATTTGAGTCACTAGGTTGTACACCTGAAACTAGTATTATTGTAAATCAACTATACTGCAATAAAAAAGAAAAAAAGACTGAGTATATAGTAAACTGCTTTGAAAGTTGCTTCCACATTAAGGTTCATTTAAAAGCAACAGATGGAAGAAGAGAGCTGGCCATTGCAACGTTACAAAAATCAATGTGCTTCTATTAAGGCAAAGAGGTTTTGAGAGATTTGCTACAGAAACTTACTGCCAGGAACCTCTAAAACCTCCCAAAGTAAGCCAAGCCTCTTTAAATTTCTGAAGTAGAAACTGACCTGTAGCCGGGGAAGTGGTTTGTGATTGACCCAGCTGCCAGGCAGCAGAAGATAGGTTGCTTACAATTGTGGTAAAATGTCCCACCACTGTACAAAGCAAAAACTGCAGAGCTTTTGAAACAGCACCCAAGCACCTGAAAGGTAATGGTGATTGGAAACACCTGCAAGATATTTATCACTTTTATTAAGAAACAATGATTGTACAATTCAAGATTAAAAACCAGGTGTCTGAGGAGTTGTTTCAGAAGGCAGAAATGTGCTCTTCTTAAGAAATCATGGTAAAAAGACTCATTCAATTTGTTTGGCAAAAACATTTTATTCACAAAATCTCCCTTTTCTCCATAACTCTCTGCTCAAATAACTCAGAAGGCTGGAAGCTGACATTTGATATTTACACAGCTCAAAATCTGAATACTCACTAATGTCTTAGCTGTTCTACATATTCTACTACTGTCTAGCCACCGCGCACCCCCCCCCCCATCTTTTTTCTTAAATCACAATATGAATGAAGAGCTCAGAGGCTGGAAAAATCAAATCCCCATCATCTTTCCCCAGCCCCATGCCACATAATCTGTTACAAAATCCTACTTTAAAAATCATCCTCTTTTGGGGGAGGATGGTGCCATTCTCTTGAATGAAAGCAACTAGCACAGAAATGACTTGTGATTGCAAGCAACACACAAAGAACATTTTCATCACGTCGGGGAATAATTACTGCTGCTCCTGGTTCACGGAGTCTTCTTTACATCTCAAAAGCTATAAATAATCCAGTGTGCCAAAGAATCATTACAACGTTTACTTTAAAAAGTATAAGTCTTATTTCTTCTAAATGGAGACCAAGCTTTCCTCCCCCCAACCCACCTATGGCTGGTACCCCTGCAGCTTGCCTTACTTGATTGAAATCGAGGGCATTTGGTAGAACGCTGAGTGATTTAAGTAGGTAAATCTCCATGTGATTCTGAGGAGACAAAAAGACAATGAGCTCAAGGCATCAGCTGATGCAAACCCACTATACCAGCTTTGGAGATGTAAGGGACACCCCAAGCAGCCTACTCCAAAAACTTTTAAGCATCTTTAATGGTACCCTGAGGGCCTCTGCTTGCGTTGAGCATCAAATGATGCAAGGTGCTAAATATGTAATGCTCTGCCCTCCTCCCACTGGCAACTGGAGAGCAGAAAGCAGCATCTGCACAACTCCTGGTGTGCATCCTCCCTTCCTTCTCTGGCTTAGAATCTCAGGAATGTTGTCCTATTTGCTTTCTTGCTGACCTACTGATGAAGGGTGGGAACAGGTATCAAGAACCATTAGAAGCTTTCTCAGAAACTTGAGGGAGTAAGAGATCTTGGCGAGGATTTATTTATTCATGAGATGCAAGTCAGATCCTGGTCCCTCCCTTCTCTGAGGTGCCGACCGTAAGGAAGGCCCTAGAAAGAGCACACACAACTAGTGTCTCCTAGCCCAGCCTGGTGCACACTACATGTATGCTAATGCTTATTATTAACTTTACTATTTATACTCATTTCCAAAGGTCACACATCCATAATGGATTTTATCTATACTGACAGTTCTTTCACCCTAAGACTGAGCTTCCATGGACATTTTTCAGAATAAAGCTATTGAGACCAAAATGCTCCTAGTTCTAGCCAAAGAGAAACAAACTACAGCAAATGTAGGATCTTGATTTCCTATCTCCATGTTAGGGTGTCTTTCACTGTGCATTTATGGAGATGCTCAGATCTTTGCTACATTGGCTTATGTGCTAGCCCACCAATAAGTGTGTCCCCCAGCCCAGAACGAATTTATTGGTTTACAATTACTCCTGACCTAATGCGGCCCACCTCCCCTCACCATAGACATTTGGCACTGTGAGTGAAGTCAGCTAGAGGTAGGGTAAAAAGAGCAAAAGATGAAAACTACTGCTTCCCAAATATAGACAAGAATGTGGTAGGATTGGTAGGATTCTCCACCCCACTTTGAGCTGTAACAGTATATAAACATTTGTACATTAACCCTTCTTGTTCTTACTCATCTACACATACATTCGCTCTGCCCGATATTTGTATCTGTATATAGACACACCCCTAGTATCAGTGCTTAAAACAATGTATAACAAAATACATGCTACACAGATATGTATATCCTATAAAAATCCACAAAAGACACCTAGAGGCCCCAAAGAATAGAGGCATAAATAGATACAAGGTTATAGGTGTCGCTCAGTAGAAAACTCTGCGAGTAACCAGAGGCTGCTGAAGAAATTGGAGGTAGGGGTTAGGATGTGAAAAAAAAAAAATATGCAGAAGGGAGGAAAGGTGCTCAGGGAATGACACAAGCTATAATAATCCTTATAAAACACCAAGTAATCTTCCCAGAAGAATGGAGGGGGTTTGGTGAGGTTGGCAGAGATCAACTCAGCTTCTGTGTTTTTCTTCACTGGACACAATGACCAAATTTCAGGGACCAGATTCATTTTGGGTAACTGCAGAAAGAAGGAAAAGACTATCCAGATTGTGTCCAAATACTTCAGAACTTGACAGAAACTTATTAAATGGATTAATGGTTTCAGCTGGATGAAAAAGAAAATAAAAGATCAAAAATAAATTCCTAATAAAAAATGAAAAAGCATTTATAACACAACAATGGAACTGTGGTAAAGGATATGCAGACATTAAATGAAATAACTCAAATATCCCCAATTTTCTCCTTTTGCCTAATTTATGACCCTGGTCAAGCTATGAAGTGAGTTCACAGGTATATTTACACACACAAAACTTGTATTTTCTGGCTAGTCATTTGCTATTTGATCTTTGCTCTAAGGGTAGAGTTTTGGATGCCTTAAAGATCAATCTCTCTTGTAAACAAACCATATCCTCTCTCTCTGGGGCACAAAATTGCACGGTCTTGATCCAGAGATAGAGGAGAGGCATTTAACAGACATTTCTTCTCCAGTTACAGATGAGGTGGATCCTCTATAAAATGGTTTATTTGCCCTTTTAACAGGGATTGAAATAAAATTCAACCAGGATTGAAAAAACAGTTAACCAAGGGGAATAAACTGTTTTTAAAAAGTATTAATTAGGATCTGTTAGCTATATTTCCTTATATGCAACTACTGGAAAGAAAAACCAATTCCCAGGGCATTGTGTTCTTACATGCACTCATTTCATTGTATGAGTGCCCTAAGCTATCCATACCCATCCTCCTATGAATAAGACCAGCAGAAGTGTTTAGACACATACTCCGTAAGCCAGAACCTAAAACCTCAGGAACCCAGTTAAATGCTGTCTGTGTACATCAACACTGTTTCAATTACTAAAAATTGTAATATTTCCTATCCACATTAAAAAAAAAGTGATACTATTTCATGTAAAGCTGTATAGTTATCCTGTCAAGACTCCAGACATGTAGCAATCAAACAGCCCCTGGGGACAGGTTCTTTTATTACACAGTAAGAAAAGTAGCTTTTGTTCTTAAGAGGCTATTTAACACATAGTATTTATAGCACCACCAGTCTGAGAAACTCTACACAGTTCAAAGAAATTAAATGCCTTTTGAGTCCATGAACAAATTCACACTTAATTCAGCATCTTTTAGTATAGACTCTCACTGGCACAGCACAGCTGTCAATGTCCAGAACAACAAATCGATCTGAAAACCCTGGGACTTAGGTGGAGAAACAGTATCCATACCGTATGTAACAAAAAACCCGAGGCAGCTTAACTGACCTCCCCCAAAGTGACCCAGGGTTTCTAGGACACTCATCTCAGACCCCATCAGAGAACAACTCCTGATAGTGGAATAAACACATCATACCCTGGGTGAGCCCAGGAGATCTGGAGAGCCACCTCTCTCGATTTAAGAACACAATCTGTGCCCAGCACAGAAGGAGAGGCCTCTATGTGCAAAAAGAGAGAGGCTGCTAAGTCTGATGGACCCCAAATCACATATCTGATGAGATGCAGGTCGGGGCTGTTGAAGAAAGAGGAAATAAAACACTGACTTTCATGTTCTCCTCTCCACACAAGTGATCACAAACTATACAAGAGCATACACACCCCTACACACGTCACCCTAACACTGTTCTTCTTTCTCAAAATTATCCCATGGGAGGAAAACCAGACCTTTGAAATGATTAGCAAAATGGTGGGAGGCAGGTTTCTACATATAAAAAACACACTCAACCCCAAACCCAGCAAGAACATTGAGATGCCTTGTTTAAAAAAAGAAAAACCTTCTATTTCAGTTGTGGTTTGGCCTGATACACCACACCCACATGTACTGAATATATTGGTTTACCCATTAGCCTGACTGGTCGTAACTCTGAAAAGAGTTGCCAGGCAGAGATGAACCTCTCTGATTAAGGAGCGTTTCAAAGACTTAACCTCTCTCCCACATGGAACCCGCCCTGAGTGCCTGGCTGGGTGTAGAGGCGGGAGAGCCCGTGGCTCTCCGAGTGCCCTCTTGGCCAGTTTCTCCTGGGTCCTCCTGGCATCACCATCTAACCTTGAGGCTAAATGACTCAGACAACTGAGTGAAGACAGAGAGCAAAAGTCTCTCTTTTCCCAATTCACACAACTTTTAACACTGTGCCATAGAGAACTGCTGCAGTTTGTTCTAAGTACAGAAAGCAAAAGGTATGAAAGCACATGACTGTTGCACAGAGGGGAAAAAAACAAGGAAAAACGTGGAAAAGGATTCGCACCAGTCTTGCCCGTGTCACAGGGCACACAGGGGCACCTGCTTCTTGCCCGACTCTCGGGATAAAGCCCAGCCCCACCATCCCCGGAGCCTCAGTTCTCTCGGCCATTCAGTTGTTCCTGGTAAGGGTGCCTGGAGCGTCAGACTTAAAAGTGCAGCTGAGCGTGGCAGGGTGACGGAGCAAGGGGACGAGGCCCCCGGAGGAGGATGGCTGTTACAGAAGAGAATCATCAGAACAGAGATAATCTTGTCTGAGACCACGGATATAAAACGAGTAGCTCTGGGGACTCAGAATTCAGTAAGCCAGTACAGTGCTGAATATTTTGGTAAACAAAACAGAAATAACAAATGAACAGGGCTACCCGATAGCGGAGAACCGTTCTCTTTTCTACTTCAGGATAGAGGGGCATCTACTCAGGGTCCACAAATGTGCGTCTGCAGAGCCATGAGAAATGAGAAGTCCCTCCCTCTGAGGATTCCCTGGTACACGGCGGGTAATTCAGCATTAACCAAGGTGAAATGGCGGCCAGGCCCCGGCCCATTAGCCTCTGGTGTCTCTACTGCAGGCCGGCCTCAGTTCTTCTCCTTCTGAGGCTGGCCTTTGGCGGCCCCCAGGTTGTTCCACACCTCTGTGTACATGAGGGTCCCAGTGAAGACAAACAAGGTGCCCAGCCAGTGCCACGGGGTGAAAGGGTTCTGGAAGTACAAGATGGAGAAGATGAGGCTGACGAACTTGCGCAGCGTCACGACGAGGGTGACGGTGAGGGCGGCGCATTCTGTGGTGAGGATGAAGATGCCCCGGATGCACACGTACTGAGGGATGACATTCATGAGGAGGTAGAACCACATGATGGGCACTGTCTCACCAATGACTGGAACCTGATACAATTCAGAATTATTGAACAGAACTGCATGGTCATAAATGTCAGAAGCCAAGAAGATGAAACCAGGAAGTGGAAGGGCATGATTATAAAACAAAGCCTCCTTGGAGTGTTTCCCAAATTGTTTGTACAGAGTCTCTTGGAAAATACCCATCCTTGCGGACATCAGAAGAGCGAAAGTCAGTGCCCCAATGCCTAGTAACCACCATGCAAACGCCTGGAATCCATCATTCTCAGTTGAGCTGGACTGAGAAGTCACCTGCTTTGCTGACATGAAAGTGCAAACAAATATCCCCACAGACACCAGGGCAATGGAGGTATATTTGAAGATACTGTATCGTTTTTTCAAAATGATAATTCCTAGAATCATGTTGGCAATTAGAGAACCAGATCTAAATATCATGTGCAGGGGCATGGCGATGTTAAGATTCAGGGCGTAGTTGTTCACCACGCTGACGGTGAAGAACATGGTCACCATTACGGCGTAGTACCTTATTGGGATAGCCGGATGCTTCCTTCCCAAATCAGCCTCAAAGAGGAAGCCTTCCACAGCGATAAGTAAAAACTGTGCAAATGTCACAATGTTCCCACATCCTGTATGTTTCCGGGCCAGGAGCTCTAGGAAGATCACGTTACTGAAGCAGCCTGCGAAAACCAGGCCCACTGCGAAGGCCGGGCGCATGGCCAGGACAGGGGAAGGGGAGCGAGAGCGCAGAGGAAGCGCCCAACTAGACCACTACCCCAGGAAGCCCGGCTACCGCCTCGTTGCACTGAACATCACCACCGTCCTGGAGCGCCGCTCTCCCGGGGTCGTGACGGTCTCCCTTTTCCCAGCGGCTGCCACCAACGCTGCCCGTCAAGGAGCTGTAGTTCGCTGTCAACCGGAGCCCCATTCATACGAGGGGGCGTCCGAGTCCAGGCTAGACTACACTGCCCAGAATGGCGCGCGCCCGTACGTCAGGCTGCGACGTACTCCACTTCTGCCGGGCACCTCAATCGGAGAGAAAGGCCTATTTCATTCTTTTTTTAATGGCTGAGTAATATCTTATTGTATGTATATTCTACATCTTCTTTATCCATTCCTGTGTCAATGGACACTTAGGTTGCTTCCATGTCTTAGCTACTGAAAATAATGCTGCAAAGAACATTGCCAGTGCATGTATCTTTTCAAGTTAGAGTTTTCTCTGGATATATGCCTGGGAATGGATTTGTAGGATTATATTGTAGCTATATTTTTAGTTTTTTAAGGAACCTCCATACTGTTCTTCATAGTGACTGCACCAATTTATATTCCCTCAACAGTGTGGATGGATTCCCTTTTGTCTACACCCTCTCCAGCATTTATTATTTGCAGATTTTTTTAATGATGGCATTTCTAAATGAGATGATACATCACTGTAGTTTTAGTTTGCATTTTTCTAATAATTAGAAAAACTATGTTAAGCATCTTTTCATGTGCCTGTTGGCCATCTGTATGACCTGTGTACTTCTTTATAATATTTCTTATCAGTTTTGCTAGCAAATTGCTGAAATTATCTTACTTTTTCCTTTAATCTAAGAATGCATTTATTTTTGCCTTTATTTTTGAAAGATAGTTTTACTTGATGTGAGCTTCTTAGTTGAGGAATTTTTTGCTTTCAGCATTTTGAGTAAGTCCTCCTACTATCTGGGCCTCCCTAGTGGTTCAGATGATAAAGAATCTGCCTGCAATTGAGAATATCAGGATTCAATTCCTGGGTTGGGAAGATCCCTGGAGAAAGAAATGGCAACCCACTCCAGTATTCTTGCCTGGGAAATCCTATGGACAGAGGAGCATGGCAGACTACTCCCCGGGGTCATAAAGGACATAACTGAACACTTTCACTTTCCTACTGCCTATCTGTCCTCTGTTGTTTCTGATGAGGTGTCAGCTATGTTATGTTGAAGTTCTCTTCTGGGTAATAAGTGAAGTGAAAGTCACTCAGTCATGTCTGACTCTTTGCAACTCCATGGACTAAACAGTCCATGAAATTCTCCAGGCCAGAATACCGTAGTGGGTAGCCATTCCCTTCTCCAGGGGATCTTCTCAACCCAAGGGTTGAACCCAGGTCTCCCACAGAATAGGCAGATTCTTTACTGTCTGTATAATAAATTGTTTTATTCTTACTGCTTACCAGTCTTTCTCTTTATTTCTAGATTTTAACATTTTATTGTGATGTGATTAAATGTAAATCTCTGTTTAGGATAAAGTAGGATACTTGGAGTTGATAGTGCTTCTTGGATGTGTAGAGTATTTCATTTTGCTTTTTTCAAATTTGAGAAATTTAAAAAATGGGGGGGCATTATTTCTTTGAGCATTTTTTTTGTCCTTTTTCTCCTGTTCTGATATTCTCATTATACATATGGTTAATTTTCTTAATGGTGTCCCAAATCTATCTGAGACCTCACTTTTTCTTTTTTCTTTACCTTTTTTATTCAGGATGTATAATCTCTATTGATCTACTTTTCAGTTTGATAACACTTCCTTTGGTCAGCTCATATTTACTGTTGATCCGCTCTAATGAGTTTTTCATTTTATCAAAATTTTTAACTCCAGAATTTTCATTTGATCTCTTTTATAATTTCTATTTTTTTTTCCCTGTATTTGGTGAGACATTGTTATCATTCCTTCAACTCCTTAGGTGTGGTTTCTTTTAATTTTGAAGATATTTATGATGACTGCTTTGAAGTTATCATCTGCTGAGTCTACCACCTGGGCCTCTTCAAGGCAATTTCTATTGTCTGCTTTTATTCCTGTGTATGGATCGCAGTTCCCTGTGTCTTTCCATGTCTTATAATTTTTGATTGAAAGCTAGACATTTGAAATAATATAATGTAGCAACTCTGAATACTGTACTCCACCCCATCCCCAGAGCCTTGATCTTGTTATTGCTTGTTTGGTCATTTCTTTAGCAACTTAGCTGAATTAAGTCTTTGCAGTTTACTTCCCTTCCCAGTGGTCAAAAAGCTCTCATATCCCTGCTTAATTTTTAAAAAAATCTTTTAGCCTGGATACCTAAGTATTGCTCCTACTTCAACATAAACCATTTATTTGTCAAAAATTGTGCTTAAGTCTACTTGACCAGTTAGATTTTTTCCTTTTACCATTGCATGTGTGTAGGTATGGAGGCTGCTATAAAGATTCGAGTTTATATTTTTCCCGCCACATTCAACAAGGAACTAGTACCTTGGATTTTTTCTAATTACTCTTGAAGGACATGGCCTTTTGCATGCATGCAGTCTTCCAGACATTCAAGGGTGGGAATGATTTTCCTAGGAGTTGCCTCTGGGTCTTCATAGATTATTGTTCATTCAGTATTTAATCAGAGGTTATGTTTATGCCACTAGTTCCTATGAGATTTTTGCCTGGGATCTGTTTTCACTATGAACAGTATATCAAGTTACTTAACGTTTTTAAGCCTCCTATATTTTTTGCTTTTGCCTTTCTAACATGTAAAATGAGAGCAATAACAATTATTTCAATCAAATATTGATATTAGGTAAAATAATTTATACAAGTGCCTTGTTGTTCAGTTGCTTAGCCATATTAGACTCTTTGCAACTCCATGGACTGCAACATACCAGGCTTCCCTGTCCTCCACTATCTTCCGATGTTTGCTCAAGTTCATGTCCATTATGTTGGTGATGCCATCCAACCATTTCCTCCTCTGTCACCCTCTATTCAAGTGCCTGGTATACTGTTTTTTACAGAATAAAATAAAGGTTACAAATTATTTTTATTATTATTAGGTATTATCAATGCTAATATTGAGAATAATAAATCCTTTAGGTAGTAAATCATATAAATATCCCAACTCTATCAATTAGGATGCTTCGGTTCAAATAACAGAAAAATCAGCTCAAAAATTTCTTTCTTACAAGAAATCTAGAGGGAGGGGAATTTCAGGGTTGGTTGAGTTAATGGCCCAGAGGTGTCATCGGGAACCAGATTTATGCAGTCTTTTAGTTCTTCAGTCCTCAGAGTTTTCTTTGCTGTCTTAGGTTGATTCTTTTCAAGGCATAAGATGGCAATTACAGTTCCAAGTGTCACATGCAGGTTGCAATGTCCACAAGCTGAAAAGAAATTGAGTCTGTCTTTCATTCCATTTTAAGGACAAAAACAGCTCTCCCTAAGTTAAAAAGCTTCCCCTCAGCTCTCATAAACCAGAACTGTGGCACACACCCATTATTAATACATCACTGATAAAAGGGTTTGGATTATCACCACAGGTTTATGAAATTAATGAAGATTTACCTATCTTCCCCAGCTGGTAGAGAGGATTAACATCTCTGAAAGCAGGTTGTATTCTAGTACCTGAATATAATTGAGTTTCTATGGGCAAGGGAGAAGAGGAGAAAGGATTTGAGTAGATAATTACATCTATTACATCTATGCTAGGGATGCGGGGACTTAGAGATCAATAAGATATTTTATCTTCAAGAAAATTATATTTATTAATATTATGAAAAAAATAGTATCATGACTATTTTGCCCATGATAACTGATACATCACCCTGTCAATGTCTTTAATGTCATGGATTTAAAAGAAAATGAGACATTAACTAAACTTGTTGACTCTCAGATAAACTCATTTCATTTCCTTCATTCTGACCAAGACATTCTGTTTAGTCAGCATTGCAGATACAATTAATCAAGTTGGCTAAAAACAATAAAGGGAAATTTGAAAGCTATCCCTCAGTGATGGGAAAGTGTCACTAATACCTAGAAAAGTTAGTTTATTTCATCTGTAAAGAAACTAATTCGTGTTGACTTGAAGACTCATCAGTTGCTGTTCTAGACTGTTTTGACGAAATCACTCAGGGTATGTCTAGTGGCTCAGACCTTCCAAGTTTCTGCCCACAGAGTAACACATTCTGTCAGGTAGACATCTGAAAGTTTTGCAGAAAAGAATAATAGAGATTTAGTTCTGTTTTGAATGAACACCTAAGAAAGTCCATTCTTCGCTATAGTTTAGGGGTAGAGAATACAGTTGAATGTGGTTTTAATTTTAGTGTCTTATACTTGGTAATGGGTTAGAGAGAGAACTGCCAGTGTTCAGATTTATGAAGCATGTATTATTTGTCCAAAATTTATTTGTTTATTCATTCCACAAGTTACACAGCTAAGTAGCTAATATATGCTCTACATTTTGGTAGGAAATGATGAACCCCACAAAGTAAAAAAAAATTTCAAGGACTTTAATATGAGCGTTATTGTTATAATACAAAGAAGCAAGTGATAAGACAGTTCCTGCTATAGAATTTATGCAGAAGGAAAACAATGTTTATTTTATTGCATAATAAATATTTTATTTTATAAATATTTATATTTATATTTATTTTATAAATATTTATTTTATTGCAACAATAACACTTTTATTGCAAAAAGAGATGCAACAAAGAAAGGTAAAGACAGATATGAATGAACATAATAATGATATATGGCACATACACATAGATACATTCATCAATTATTTATTGGGTCTTTGCTACAGATAAGACACTATGTTTAAAAGATACAAAGAAAAAGAAAACATTTCTACATTCAGAAAATTTACAAGATCACAAGAAAGATAATCTGCATGCTTAAAGTACTAAAAACTAAGAAGGAAAAAATTAATAATTTTTAATAAAATAGCAAATGCACACATAGGGGTTATTATGTGCCAGGAGTTACCCTAAGCATTTTAAATACATTACTACTAACTCATTTAAACTTCACAGTCTGCACTATTCTTCCATATCTCAGAGGAGGAAACAGACACAGAAATAAGTTGCCCAAGGTTGCAATTACATAGCT